CGCAGCGCGGCTGAGGCCGGCCCTTCGCCTCAGGCCTCAGGCCGCCGCCTGCCCTCCGCCAGGCCGCCCGCCCCGCTCGGACCCCGGCCCGGCCGAGCCTCGGCGCCGCCGCAGCCCCTCATCCTGGCTTCATTCATAGGGGCACCCCAGCCCGGCCGGCGGGGCGGGGCCGGGGACCCGCGAACAAGGCCAGCCCGCCGAGGCCGGGGAGGAAAATAAAAAGTTAAGAGAAGAACTTACCTAAAATGGCTCCTGCAGCAGCCAAAATACAAACAGCTATTATTTGGTGAAGTTTAGCTCAGACACCCTGCAAGGACACCCTAACCCGGCTTGGGCCCGCCTTCCCTGCCACGCTATTGGGCCTCGCCGGCCCAAAACACAGATTCATTGGTCAGCCTGGCTGCTGCTCAGGCAGAAACCCATTTCAAGCTTGCTTGCAGGGGCGAGTGATGGGCTCGCTCCATTGTGCTCGTATTTGCATGGATGTGATCGCGGCGCTGATTGGCCTGCGCCAGGGCCGCCCCGCCCCCTGCCTCGCGCCCCCCGCCTTGGAGACGCCACTGCGCGCGGCCCCGCCCCCCGGGACTGAGCGGCGGGGCCACGGGGGCGAGGCGGGGCTGGGGTCCTGCGGGCCGAGGGGGCGGGGCGGGGTCCTGCCGGCCTTGGACAGAAGGCAGGGGGCGGGGACTTGGAGCGCGCGGGGACTTGGAGCGCGCGCGGACCCGGCGGGGGTACAGCTCTCAGGTAGCGGTCTAGCCATCTGGAACACCCGAGGCTGGCGTCTCTGGGGCTGGGAGAGTATGTGACTGGGATCCCGCGACAGAGAGATTCCGCTGGGGACGAGGTGCCGTAGGTCAGGAAAAGAAGATGCGGAGAAGCCAGGTGAAGAGCCGAGAAGCCCGGCAAAGAGCCAAGGAGCCCCGAGCTCTGTCTCCAGCTGCATCCCCGCCGCTCCTCCTGGCTCCCTGGCACTCCTGGCACTCCTGGCACACGAGCTTCTTCGCAAGGCCCCTACGCACACCCTAGGAGTTTTCAGCCTCGGGGGTCTTCCGGCGCCTTGGATATACCTGTGTAAAATCAGGTGTCAAGCTATGGTGTGTTTATCTTGAGGCCTCCTGTCTCCCTCACCATCCTTGTTGCATCCTCAAGGACAGGGCCCAGCGTCTGGCAGAGATTCAACTAATTGTTGAATATTGTTGAATTCGTTCGTTAGTAGCTAACTTTTGAATGCCCACTAAATGCCAGGCATTGATCTAAGGCAGGAGATACAGTTGTCAATAAGACAAAGGCCTTGCTCTCCTGGAGTGAGCATGCTAAGGGGAAAGAAAGACAATAAATAAATACAAGGGGGGAGGTAGTGATCAATGCAATAAAGAAAATAAATGAAGGCAGAGACGGATAGGGAGTTGGCCCTGTCTGGCAGAATACTCTATATGGCATCCCATTACTGCCCCCTTCCCAGATGTGGCAGTTACCTCAGCCCCTTACTCCCTACCTGCCCCCATCATGGGTGTCTCCTTAGCACCCACCAAAAAATGGTTGGATTGTGAATGTAGAAGCTCATTTTACCTCAATGAAAGTACAGATGATCTGAGTTCTGATGATTCCAAGAGCAGTGTGTCTGATGCATTTAAGATGAACATGGTTTGACTTTGTCAGAGGTAGCTGTAATGATTTAGCAGAGCCTTACTGCACCCCAGAGAGAGGATATTTTTAGTGTCTTTGAAACCCCAGCGTTCCTGTGGTTTTCAGCCTGTGGCCCTAACTCTCTTCTGAGGACCATTTCTTCACTTCTTGGTGGGCACCAGAAAGATTTCTCCAGTTTGAAAATACAAAGAGAGCAGCCCCCACCACCTGTCTACCTCACCTGTGCACATTTCTCTCATTTGACTCAAGACTGGCCAACATGTGTCATGGTCCTTCCCTCTTTCTTCCTTCCCTTAACAAAAGACACAGCATTAAACAAGGCAGACAACATCTCTATCCTCAGAGAGCACACAGTCTGGTTGATGACAAGGTGGAGGTTTATACATGGATCCTGAAGAGTTTCAATTCTGCCAAGCTGCTGGGGAGTGATTATGCAGAGAGCTACTTGTCCCCCCTACTCACAGGGATGACAGCGGACTTACTCTCCTGAACCAGCTGCTGCAGGGGCTGAAGCCAGACCAGGCAGCTGGTAGCCACAGCCTCTTCAGTCTGACACCAGGATCAACGGTCTAAAACACTCAAGACTGCTCACTCGACATGGATGTCAAGTGATCCTCCTTTCACACAATCAAATCCCTTGCCCTCAAAAGATGACATAACATAAATCAGGTGAGGGAGGAGTGGGACTTCAGACAGACGGAGGAGTGTATATGCCAAAGCATAGAAGCAAGGACAGTATTGGGAAGTGTGAGATCAGGAGGGAGGGGGACGGTAGATTTGTCAGTAATCCCTGTTCTTAAACTTGAGAAAAGTCAGTAGCATGTAAGAAGTTAAACACACACACAAATATACAAATGTTCTATCACTAAACAAGAAATCAGTGACAGTGCATGACTGACTCACAAATGAATGGTACAGGTACAAGCAGAGGAGAGATCTGGCAGCTGTACTCAGGAGAGGCAGCAGGCTTGACCTTCAAAGAGTCAGGTCTGTAGAACTGAGCAAGGTTAGTGGAATGTGACCTCCCAAACACTTCCGCTGTATTCAGGGACTGAAGGGGAAACACAGACAGCTAAGTGTCTTTTAGCTGTATACATCCATGGGGATGTCTTAGCCAGGGTTCTCCAGAATGCAGAGCCTGAGTCCATAGGGCAGGAGTGAGAGGCAAAAGGAGGAAAGTAGGGAAGAGGGAAGAGCTAAAACCAGGATGATTCTTCATCTGGCCTCCACTGAGTGTGGCTGATTGCTCCCACTCAAGGGCACTTCCTTTGAGAAGCCACATGAAATGAGACTCAGTACAGCCTGCGGGAGAGGGAAAAGCTAAGGAAATTTCTCCACCAGCTCACCTTGAGTGAATTCTTATTCACTCCAGTTGTTCATGCATATGTGCCGGTGCGGGGGAGGGGGGTTCTGTGGTGTCCCAAAACTCAGTGTCAAGAAGCATGCAGCGGGGCCATGAGGCAAAACATTGTCAGGGCGCAGCTGTGTGGAGTCAGATGGAGCCCACGCAGAGCTGGGTGCCATGGCAGCTTCTGGGACAGACATGGTTGACACTAAGAGGCTCTGAAGTTTTGATGTGGGAGTGACTTTCTGTACCATATTGTATATCCATGTTTACCAAGGGCCACAGAAGAGCAATCCTTAGGAGCTCTGAAAAGGAGCCACAGAAGAGCTTCCAATAGTTCTAGAACTTTGTGACAGTAACTCCATAAACACAAGTTGCATCCTGTCCAACCATGTTCTTTCTTGCCTTCCTGCCTCTGTTCACCTGTCTGTTTCCTCCATTAAACTGTGAGCTTCTTTATTGTTCTTGTTTATATATCTGTGGTAGAGAAAAGGCTACTTGCCCCAGCCCCAGCCCATTTCATTTTCCTCCTAGGTTCCTAGTAAACTACATTTCTCAGTAATCACACAGGTCCTTTTGACTGAGCTCTAATGGAATCTGGACAGAAGTGGTACAAATATATCCCATGTCTAAGCATCCCCTAAAACTTCCTGTGTGATCCTCCAAATTGTTCTCCTATCCTCATCTGCTGGCCAGATGCAAAACTAGCCAGAGGAGGACTTAGAGACCCCCCCCCCCAAACGGCAATGGTATGAGTCTGGGTTACCAACTGACTGCATGGAGCAGAATCCCTGTGCTTACCTGCACTGGACTGTGCTGTGAGGGAGAAATAAACTGTCCAAGTGTCATCACTGAAATGTGATTGTTGTTTGTTACAGCTGTTAGCACACTCTAATACAGTACTTATCTACCTTTGTTTGCTTCTGTCTTCCGCTAGGGGAAGGATAGTGTTTATTTGGCTTTGTAACTCAAGTACTAGTAGGGTGCCTAATATGTAGTAGGAGTTGCTCAAAGCATGAATGGATGTGAATGAGCTGATACCTGAGCCTGGTCCTAAAGCATCAGAGGTAGAATGCCAGGTAAAGTGGCAGGTGGAAAGTGTTCCACTTAAGAGACATAGCATGTGCTACAGAAACAGAGAGACTGGGGTGAACGTATGCAGTTCTCAGCAGTACAAATGTTTCATGATTTGAGAGGAAGATGTCTAGGGTGAGGCAGAGAGAAGACAAGGGCCAGATCACAAAAGGTCTTATTCATTACATGAAGGAGTTTGAACTTTATCCTACAAGAATCATTCAAGAATTTTAAACAGGATGTGATACCATCAAGTTTATGTTTTTAGAAAGATCTCTCTGGCAGCATAGAAGAAAGATGGATTAGAAAGGGACAGAAAAATGTGGATTTTGTTGGGGAGGGTATAGCACAGTGGAAGAGTACATGCTTAGCATGCACAAGGTCCTGGGTTCAATCCTCAGTACCTCCATTAAAAAAATTTTTTTAAACCAGCTTTCTAAAAATAATATGGATTTTTAAAAAGCTACATTTCCCTTTCGCTCCAAATCATTCTTCTGATGAGATTCTCTACTTAAAAGGGCTTTAGGGAAGTTGGTTTGGGAAGTTGTGCATACTCAAGCCCCTCTTGGAAGTTCCTATTGCTCATTAAAAACTCTGAGAAGTCCTACATTAATGAAATCTGTTAAACTTTAACATAATAGTTCTCAAAATTATTTGACCACAGAACCCCCTTTTCATTTAATACCTATTTAAGCCAATATTAGGATTAGATTTGCCCATATGTAATAGAAAAAAAGAACAAAGGACTGAAGTTTATTTTTGTCTTGCATAAAATAAATCTGGGAGCAGGCAGTCCAAGTGGGGCATGGGGCTCTGTGGTACCGTTAGCAAGCCAAGCTTCAGTACTTTTGCTCTGCCGGACTTTTAGCTTTCATTCCCAAGGTCACTTTGTGATCCAAAATGGCTGCTGAAGCACCAGCCCATGTTTTTTGGAAGGAAAAAAGGAAAGACAAATTGAAAAAAGTGGAGCTCAGTCATGTTCCTTAAGCTGCCTTCCTGGAAATATGTCACATCACTTCTGCTTACATCTCATTGGCTAAAACTTGGTCACATGGCCACACCAAATGGCAAAGGAGGCTGGGAAATATGGTATTTTATTTTTATTTTGCTTGGTTATGTGCCAAGTTAAAAACAGATGAATGGATAAAGAAGATATATATATATATATATATATACATATATACACACACACACACACAATGGAATATTGTTCAGCCATAAAAAAGAAGGAAATGTTGCCATTTGCAGCAACATGGA